AGCAGCTCAAAGGCCCTGGGTTTGCATCTGTAAGGGGAGGCTCACCCTCCTGTCAGCTCGCACCTCTGTACGGAGAACCAGTGCTCCTTTAGGTGAAACAAGCGGATACGCTCCCATCCAATAGGGACAGGGAAATAAAGAGAACGGGGCAGGACGGAAGACAGCGGACTGGGGAGTTCCTGACCCCTCCCATCCCGACCATAGTTTGGGGCAGGGAGAGGCGGCACTTCTGAGACGTCTTGGTGCCACCCCTCGTCTCTGCACTGAGCTTTCCCAGGGCGCCCTTCCCACATTATCTGAGGACCCAGAGAGTCCAGAGGCAGCTGCTGGGCTAGGGATGAGTTGCTTTGAGGCCAGCGCTGTCCTCTGTACCCAGCAGTTTCTGAATACAATGAGGAGGCGAGTAAAGGGTCAGGGGGAGCTTGGTCAGATTCTCCACCCCCAGGCCCCTTCGGATGGGCTCTGGCCAGCAGAGCACCCAGATAAAGGACCGCTGGTCCGCAGGGGAGGTCTCTTCCCACACATGGTTAAAGGCTACCCCTAAGGGATGAGAGGAAGCGGGGTGGGCGGGACCAGGGGCAGCTGGTGGCCCATCAGGAGATCCCGAGGGCTGCTCACTCTGCACCTGGTCCCAGCATGGTGTCCCACGATGGGAATGTGCACCAGAGACTCGTCCGTCTGTGGCTTCTTCTGGGGCCCACTCTCAGAGGTGGACCCCCAAGGATAGATATCCCTGCATGCAATGCTCCCTTAGCTGGCTGTTTGCAGAAATGCTCTGTACGGAAGCTTCCTTTTGCTAAGACAGAGAAACCTGAAACCTCCCCCTACCCCCGGAGCTTCCTCCAGCAAGCTGTGTGGCCTTGGCAGGCCACTTGCCCTCCCTGGGCCTCGGGAGTTCTCATCTGAAGGTTGCATCTCTCTCTCTCTCTCTCTCTCTCTCTCTCTCTCTCTCTCTCTCTTAAAATGTGTGTGTATTTATTTTAGAGGCTAAGAGGAAACGCTCTCCCCAGCTGCTGGTTCACTCCCCAGATCCTCCCTCCCCCCACCACAGCCCCCAAGACTGGGGCTGAGCTAGGCTGAAGCCACATGCTGGGAACTCCATCCAGGTTTCCCATGTGGGTGGCAGGGAGCCAACTACTTGAGCCCTCACCTCCTGTCTCCTAGGCTGTGCATTAGCAGGAAGCTGGAATTGGGAGCAGAGCCAGGGCTCAACCCCATGCACCCCATAGAGGATATGAATGTCCCAGGTAGGGTCTTAACCTGCACACCTGGCACCCACTGGTCTGCGCTCATCTCCCAGGCACTAGGTAGCTCTCCTGGCTGTATGCTCACCTTGTGTGTGGAGCAACAGTGCCCTCTAGTGGAAGAAAGGGTTAGCTGTGTGGTGGGTTGCGCTACGCCTACCGGCTTGAAAGAAAATTCACAAACCACTCTGGCACAGGAGCTGGCCGCAGAGAGCCAGTGAGGTGGACCTCAGCAAAGGCCTCAGAAAATCAGGGGACAGGGACAGGGGACTGTGTCCTTACAGGATTCTGCACCAGCCATCACAGGCGCACACCAACATTGTTCAGATGGGTCAGCTGGTGAGACTGCAAGAAGTTTTGTTATGGTGATGTCACGGACACTTGAGTTTCTAAGGCACAGCTTGGAATTCTGTGTGATCAGCTGACCCTGCATTCTGGAGCCACCTTGGGTTACTGAGGACGAAGAATGGGGAACCACTGGATTTGCAAGTGGATTTTTTTGCCCAGATTTTACTTGCTCGACACCTGTAGCAATATTGCAAGCTGTCCCTTTGTTGGTGACCCCAAAGCAGGGCCACACACCAAAGTCAGCTCAGGGTAAGTGGAGGAGTCTGCTGCCCTTTCATAGCTGGTGGGGTGGGGCTGGTGGTGACAGAGGAAAGGAGGTGTCCACATCCAGTGGCCAGGCTGCCAGGCTGCCCAGTTCTGGGACAGAGTAATGCAGAAGTGGGAGCCAAAGAGCCCTGAAAGCTCTCATCACTGTAGTCACTAGAGGGTTCTCCCCAGTACCAGCCTCTGAGAGGGGTGGGGCCTAGTAAAGTGAGAGGCAGACGCCCCAAAACTCGGCTAAGCCACATAAACAACACTCAAATGAAGTATTTAAAACAAAAAACTTGAGTGTCCCCAAGATCCACGATGAATAAAACGTCAATGTTACAAATCACAAGGTGGCAGGACTGGTGTGCCTGCTCTGAAGTGCGAGGGTCACACCATGGCCAACCCCCAAACTACGAACAAAGCATTACTAGCACCCCAAGAGTTCTCACTACTCATTTCCTTTTTTAACACGGGAAATCAGAAGATACTGGGGTCTGGCGCTATGGAGCAGCTGGTTAAGCCGCGTCCTGTGACACTGGCATCCTATATGGGCGTGGATTCAAGTCCCGGCTGCTCCACTTCTGATCCAGCTCTCTGCTATGGCAGTTGGAAGATGGCCCAAGTTCTTGGGCCCCTGCATGCATGTGGAAGACCTGGCTCCTAGCTTTGGCCTGGCCCAGCCCCAGCCATTTGAGCCATTTGGGGAGTGAACCAGTGGGTAGAAAATGTATCTGTGTGTGTCTGTAACTCAGAAATTTTTTTTTGAAAAAATAGATTCATTGAAGTACTATTTGTAGCTACAAACCAAATGCTATGAGATTCACATAACTTTTATACTCTGTATACTGACTACCACAGACAAAAGAACACATCTGTTTGTCCTTTTGAGTCTGGCTTATTTCATTCAGCAAAATGATCTCCAGTTGGGTGTGACCAGAGGACCAACAACTTGCTTATCTGTAGACTTATGTGCCTTTCTTGGTATGTGTACTATATGCCAACACCATGTTTTTAGTAAGTAAACAAGAAATGTGCAAGTCCCAGTCGCCCCAGTCTAAGCGCACCTGCGGCGGAGAGAGGCTCCGGAGGCTGCGCTTGGCCACACTGCCACCTGCTGCTGGAAGAGGGTAATGCTGGCTGCCTGCCCGAGCCGGCCAACGCAGCTGCCCACAGAGGCACGGCCCCCGTCCACCCGCAGCCATCCACTTCGGGAGCTTTGAAGCCCCCTGGCCACCTCGACCCTGCCAGCAGACCGAGTAGGCGGTGGAAAGAGCCCGAGACTCCGCGGGCTCATGACCTCCCTCTCCCAGTGGCCGGATCCCAGGAGATGCTTCTGTGACAGCGCTGAGCAGGTAGGGACCCAGGGCCCTGAGGACTGCCTCCCCGGAGCCACCCAGTCCCCATCCAGCAAACCGAACCGTCATCATCGCCTTATCACTGAGGGCCAGACACGCACCAGGACCAGCAGGGAGAGGCGCTCGCTCGAGTCCACGTGGTGGACAAGGAAGCCCCGAGCCGCGGGGAGGCGACCCCAGGGCCGGGGCGCCCCGGAGCTGGCCCACTGGGATCACGGGCCCCCTTGGCTAGGGCTTTATTTCCGGTCAGCGTGCTGGGGAGACCGAGGGAAGTCCCGGCTCTGCGGCCAGCACAAGTCCCTGGACTTCCTGAGCAGGGACTTCCTGTTCTGGAAAAGCGAGATGGCGCGGTGTCCAGTGCTGGGTGCTGGGTGGCTGAGATCCAAGAAGACAGCTTACCTACAGCTCGTGCATGGGGGTGGGGAGGGGCTCAGTGAGTGGCAGGGTGATTGCAGCAAGCCACACCCACTCACCACCCCCCCCCCCACACACACACTCCCTTT